ATTTCAGGTATATAAAGAAGTGGTATGAATATTACGATCTGCCATTCTTTTTAAGCGATTTGGGTATAAGGTTTACACAATTTCAAATTTTGAGCGATTTTAGTTAATTTCAATATATTCTTTTACCATGAAGAATAACAAATATTTAAAGTATTATATATTAAAACAACTACAAAAATAACAACATTGTTTTATAAACTAATTTGATTTAATTTGACGTATATTGCAACCAAATTTGCAAGCTTTTCATTTATATACACCTGATTTCACGAACTAAATAGCAAAGAATCTTTCAGTGTACCACTCACAATCGTCGTTCACGAACGAACGAACGAACTAGTTATTCATGAGAGCTGAACAAAAAAGAGCTATCTTCTTAATGAACTAGAAAGTACAACTCTAGTAAGTTAAAAGGCAGGTTGTGGATTGGTTGTGATAAATTTAAATTTATTGCAATCTTGGGTAACAACGAATGCAACAATATATGGGTTCATGTTTTGTAATATCCCCTATTTAAGGGTACCGCCCCATTTGCAGTATTTTCTTAGGTCCTATCTTCATTATCCCACCGAAGCAGCTGTAATTTCGTATATCGTAGAAATGTTTTTAATATGGGCCCATGATTCGAATTAGTCCCCATGAGAATGTCCCGTTTTTTATAGTGGTCCACATTACCCGAAATTAATTTTTTTCATTTATTTTATTTTTTTGTTTAAAAAAATCCAGAGTGTGGAAATTTGACATTTTTGGGGGCAAACAAAAAATAGACATTTGAGTCAAATATTTGCGTAGTGTGACCTAAGCTTTAAAATCTTTAGAAAATATAAATTTTTAATTTTTTTTTAATTTTTTAAAAATATGCCAATCGACATGCATAAAATTTTTTGATTTTTTTTTGCAAACATTTTGAAATTGATGGACGATTTCCAAATTATGATTATCAATTAATCAAATGAGGCTACCTTTTGTAATTATGCCATGATGTATACTAATGGTACGTTTGGATTTACGAAATCCACTCAATCTCAATGTCAATTCCATATGCCATGATGTATACTAAAGGTACGTTTAGATTTACGAAATCCACTCGATCTCAATGTCAATTCCATAACGTATAAATTAAAACACTGGGTTAACGAAATCCGGTTAAATGTAAACGTACTATTAGAACCTTTTACTGGGTTAACCTACTTTATGAGGATTTATTTGACATATATGCAAAGGAATTGACAATTGAAACCCGCTGGGTTAACGAACGTACTTTTTGATCATGATTTAAATCAATCGAGATCTGAGATTATATATTTATGTATGGTAAATATGTTGCGTGCTAGGCCTCACGGTTCAAAAATAAAATATAAATTATAAAAAAATAAAATAAAATTACCGACAGCAGATCCACGTTTTGATCGTGGCTGCCGGCAAATAAAAAATGAACCGGATATGCTTGGCTGAGATCTAAGAGGCAAGTGAACAGCGTTGCAAAAATGTGGAAGTAAGGTTTGCCAATTAGTGGCAACGTAACGCATACCATAGACCTATCAAGAATACAACCCTGTAATGAGCGTAATAGGTCTGTACAGGGCAACAAAGCGAAAAAGATAAATGTCAGGAAAATTTTGGGAAAATGGAGAAATTTACCATGGCGGCGGGCATATAAAAGGGATAACGGGGGAAAAATAGGACACAAGTTTTTTGGTGTTTTCGCAGGAGCCATCTTAATCAGTGTTCCCTTTGCTAGAAAAAATTCCCATTTTTGTTAAACCAACAATATTAAAAAAAACAACATTTTTATTTGTGTTTTTTTTTTATAAACACTTGTGTTTTTATTGTGTGTTGCTTATGCATTTGTGCGAGCAAAATAATGTGAGTAGTGCGAATTGTTAGTGTGTTTTTATGATGTTGAATGTTTTGTGTTATTTTTTGTTTCTATTTAAGACGTCGCCAAGATCGACTGCAACAATCGATAAAACGTCCACTGACCCCTCCAAGTCCTTGTACGGAGGTGGTCAGCAAAAATTTGAGGAATCCGTTTGGAAGAATACGGCAGGAGGTGTCAGCCCGACCAGAATAGCCTGCGACAAGTGCCTTAACCAACTGCTCCAACGGCAAGCTTAATTGGGGAATAATTGCCAACTAAATCCTGGTGACCAATTGCCCATGAAGTGCGAAACCTGCAAAAATAAAAAAATATAAAACTATAAGTATATGGAAACCAGGTAACCTTTTATGTTATTAAATACTCACAATGGTACAATTATAAAAGGTAACAGCAAATCCCAGCTGATTTGATTCCAACGTAATACTAGTGTCAATATGAATTTGACAAATTATGTTTTTAAAAATCACCCAACAGGAAAATTGGGAACGCATACAATTTGAATTTGTTCTTTATTAATGTGCTCCTGTATTCAATTTACTCAATCTGCCTGCTGGGAAAGTTTCAGGAAGCAAATCTTTCTTCAAGGAATAACTCGCTATTCCCAGCATTTTCATATGTGTTATACATATATGTGGCAATGGTACACTTAAAGGAAAGATGTGGACGCGATAGAAATATAAATTTGAAAGATTTTCATTCATGTTTTTCAATTTTTATTTTGGGGATTCGAAAATATTTCATTTTCAAAATAAAAATAATTTGATGATAATTTGTTTGTTTGTTTACATTTTTCTGTCAAATGAGTTGACACTAGTAGAACTTACAACAACAAATTTCTATGTGGTTGTTGTATCGTTTTTTGTACAACAACACTTGCTGTTACCTTCTATTATTATACCATGAATACTCACTGGTGTTGAGCCAAAATTTAAATGTTTCGCCAAGAGCCCAAACGCATTGATTATGCCTGAAACGATGAAAGGAAATTAAAGTTATTAAAGAAATTATACACATTTGAACATAAAAAACACACACACAAAACAATAAGAAACAAAAAAATCCCTAACAAACTAAAACTAAAAGACCAAAAATTTTTTTAAATATACATTTGTAATTAATAGTATAAAAATTTAGTAATAAGTAGTATTTAAGGACGTAATATGTGAGGATTTTTAACGACGGGAATTATACGAATAGTGTAGGGTTACCCTAAAATTCCAATTATACTTGTTTTTATGTTGTTTTACTGTGGGACCAGTTTGTAATGTCCCCAAAAACCTTCTAAGAGAGCTCTTTTAGGTGAGGTATAATAAAGTAGCAAAGTTGCCAGATTGGCCAAAGGTTTAATTGGATAGAAAGGTAGTCCGAATAAGTGAATTTTCGTTATCGTCCGGTTGTTAGAAATTCATTATACTGACTAAATTGTTCTTTGTTGGATTTAAGTCAACAAAAAAAATGAATATAATAAATGGTTTTAATGTCTAAGTTTTATAGATTAATATGAATTGTTAAATGTTCTTTGTAAGGGAGGATAATAGGATGATGTAGTAATGTGGTAAGTGTGTGTGGAAATAGGGGCCCTTTTAAGAGTGATTGATAATGAGGATCAAAGGGTCAAGGTTGGGCGGGCTGAGTGTGGGAACAAAATCTCCAAGTTCCCTTGTTATGGTTGTATGTGTGTGTCGTTTTATTTTTGTTTGTGTTTGTATTTTCGTTCCACTTCTTACATCGATTGTTCGTCCCCTAGGGCTGATGGTGGCAGGGTTATGGATTCACCCCTTAAGCGGTGCCCCGACGAGCTAGTTGGAACCCCACCATAGCGCCGCAGTAGGCGGTACGCAACAAATAGTAAAGACAACTGTACAATATTATAATTTTCACAGAATAATTTAGAAAATCTCAAGATTTTTTCATTAAAATACCATGAATTCAGCCACAAAAGTAAGTTTCTTTGATCGGAAATTGCTAAATAAGGTCATCCGCGATGTTGGTCAGTAGAAAAACTCGGAAAAAATTTTGTGCGGGAAACTCGACGACGACTCACTCATGTCACACACCACAACACCAAAACAACTCTCGCTCGGCAAGTGTCAGATCGTCTGAATTCCTTAGGGCGGTCAAGAGGAAAGAACGACAAAGATTTGTTTGCAAACAAACAAAATTGTTTAATAATAAAAACCACCATTCATACCAGTTGGATTGTCCCAAAAGCTTCTGCGTACATAACTACAGAATGGGGCACAACATTTGTGGGCCTGGACTCTGCTGCAAAATGAAAAGGACAGACATCTGTTATATTTTTGTTTACAACCCAGGAACAAGAAGAGATTTGCATACCAGTTGTTTTGGTTTATTTTGGTGGCAGGGTTATGGATTCACCCCTTAAGCGGTGCCCCGACGAGCTAGTTGGAACCCCACCATAGCGCCGCAGTAGGCGGTACGCAACAAATAGTAAAGAGGCAAAAACATTGGATTGACATTTCATACAAAGCTAACTTAACATGCCAGGCCTGAATTCTCTCTCCCCTTAATAAAGTACGTTTAGATTTTCGATGTAAGTTACTGATTCACCCTGTCATCCAAAATTTCATTGAATTCAATTGAAGGATCTCTTCAATCTCTTCTCTTCTACGTTATGTACGCGTTGAGGCGACATGGAAAAGGAGCAACGCGCTGATTGTGTCTATGCCTTTATACCGATTGCAAAAATCATATAATGCATGTAAACGTCATAAAACCGTGTTGAATTAATATTTCCCAAATATGCAAAACATAATTTTTATAAGATTTAGCATAATATAAACAGAGCTAATAAAAATATTCAATAAGAGTTCAATATATACTGTTTCAAACAAACATGAAACAAATTTGTTGCACAGTGTTATTATTCATTTCATAAATCAATTCATTTTTACAATATATCGTAAATATTTTATAAGAAACTTACTTATTCATTTGCATTTTTATATACTTCAAATAATATATAATATATTTTTATTTTAAATATAATGTATTTCATTTTTAATACATTGTGTCTTCTGGGCTTCGCTGTCATCTTTCGTGTTTTCATGAAACACCCTGTGACTGCCAACCCAACACAACTACTTCAGCTGTCAGATTTTTTACAACGCTGTTACCTACGCTGTTTTTTGACAACTGTACAATATTATAATTTTCACAGAATAATTTAGAAAATCTCAAGATTTTTTCATTAAAATACCATGAATTCAGCCACAAAAGTAAGTTTCTTTGATCGGAAATTGCTAAATAAGGTCATCCGCGATGTTGATCAGTAGAAAAACTCGGAAAAAATTTTGTGCGGGAAACTCGACGACGACTCACTCATGTCACACACCACAACACCAAAACAACTCTCGCTCGGCAAGTGTCAGATCGTCTGAATTCCTTAGGGCGGTCAAGAGGAAAGAACGACAAAGATTTGTTTGCAAACAAACAAAATTGTTTAATAATAAAAACCACCATTCATACCAGTTGGATTGTCCCAAAAGCTTCTGCGTAAATAACTACAGAATGGGGCACAACATTTGTGGGCCTGGACTCTGCTGCAAAATGAAAAGGACAGACATCTGTTATATTTTTGTTTACAACCCAGGAACAAGAAGAGATTTGCATACCAGTTGTTTTGGTTTATTTTGATAACGAATTTTGTTTTCGATTTGTTTACATGAAATGTTGTTTTTGTTTTACCATTTTCATTGTAGGTGGGTGAAATATTCACTGCTGCTGGTCAGGCTTTTAGTCGCTTAGGAGATTTAACAATGCAATTACATCCAAATGCAGAATCACCAGCGGGGTATGTATTATTTTAAATTTACTATTTTAATTCATATAAGTAATACATAAAATATTTAATCAAATATTGTTTATGTATCTGAAATGTGTATAAACATGTGATTGATGTTTTTGTAATGTATTAATTCATAACATATATGAGAATTAGAGAAGAGAATATCATTGAAATATACAATTTTGTTAATTTTCACAGACCAAAAATTTTATGTTGCCAATAAAGAAACGGATTGGATTTATACTTAACGTTTAAAAAATACTTTAAGAATTCAATTATAAATTGCACATTCATAATTGTAATGGAACTAGAAAAATGAGGAACGTTAAAGCAAATTAGAATAAAGAAAGTCCGCCTCATTAATGTATATTTTATTATACAAAAAGACAATTATAGACAATTTTTGAAATATTTCCACACACTATAACAAAGTATTTCTACTGACATGTTTGGGATCCCCATTCAATATTTCTACAAAATACAAAGTATTTATGAGATTAATATATTCTGGAAGTATCAGAATTTGCAGATTCATTTTATTTACTAGTGACATGTATGGGATCCCAATTCAATATTTCTGCAAAGTACAAAATATTTATGAAATTGACATTTTCTTCAAGCATCCGGATTTGCAGATTCCTTGGAAGAGAAAAAAAAATATAAATTTGAAGTTAACGAAATTAAATAGTAGACACGTAGCTCTTTTCTTTGTATGCTATTTTTTTACTTTTTTCCCTTAAACTCCAGAGCTTTCACTTAAGCTCCAATGCCATTCCGGACTAGTAAAATCAAATTGTAAATTTTATTTTTACTTACGAAAAGCGTGAGTTTGCCGGTATTTCTATATTTCTATCTTGTCACATCATTACCGGTATGAGAATGTGGAGCCTTATTAAACCCCAAACCGTCTGAATTTAACTTTTACTTCTTACTTTACTTAGCTGGCTTGTAACAGAACTTTCGTTCCATAAGCCGAGCTTAAAAAAAATTTCCAGGCGCGTCGGTCTTTTGCGCATGATCGACAATGTTGTCTTCCACTTCTTCGTGGCCTTCCCGTTCTGCGTGAACCATCAGCTGATTCGCTTTTATATGCTATTTGGGCTGGGGCATCTTCATCCATTCCCACAACATGACCTAGCCAACGTAGTCGCTGCAGCTCAATACGTCTAACAATGCCGATTTCCGAGAATAGCTGGTACAGCTCATGGTTCATTCGACGGCGATATTCACCATCAACGCAGATCGGCCCATAGATCTTTTGGAGAATTTACTCTTATATACTCCAATGCGGAACCAAGGTATATAAAATCTTTGACTACCTCGAAGCTGTAGTTCTCAAGTTCCACAGTTGATCCGAGTCTACTGAACGTCTTGTGCGTTGATACCATCAGCTTGGACTTTGGACAAATTGAGAAGGAGTAATGTGTCCAAAGGTGGCTTTTGTCGCTCTCAATGTCGGACCCATTATGTCGATGTCATCAGCGGAGGCGAGCGACATGAGTTGTTTAGTGTACAGAGTGACATTTCTGTTCACCTTTGCCTCTCGTATGACCTTTTTCAGCAGGATGTTAAAAAGGTCACAAGACAAACTGTCACCTTGTCTAAATCCTCGTTCTGTATTAATTTTGCAGGAATGCCAAACACCTCTGAACGAATAGGTTTGTCGAATAGGGCATTATAAGCGACGAATATGTGGAAAGTGTCGATGTGTTTTTCGTGGGTCTTTTCCAGGATTTGGCACAGAGTGAAGAACTTGTCAATGGTGGATTTGCAAGTCTGAAGCCGTATTGTTATGGTCCAATAATTTCATTGATCATTGTCAAAGGATGCTGAGGTTCCAATCATTGGGCATGCATTCCTCTAGCCAAATTGTATTAATCAGCGAAGTCAATAAACCTCATGTCGTTGTCTAATGTTTCTTCATGGAGGCTGAATTTTGCGACGGTGGGGCCAAAAATATTTTCCCTTCCGATTTTGCATTAAAATCCCCTAGCATAATTTCAATGTCATGGCCAGGATAGCGGCCATATGCTCTTTATGCGCTCGTAAAATATGTATTTGGTCTGTTCATATTTGTCTTCGGTCGGAGCATGGGCGCAAATGAGACTGATGCATAAGAACTTCGCTATTATTCGGATTATAGCAATTCGCTCATCTACTAGAGTGAATCCATAAATCCGCAGCCAAATTCGCGTCTCGTTTCATGACAGGGCGCAATCACCTGATTTACTTACGTCAGTCCCTTTCCATCGCATTTCCTGTAAGGCAATATTGTCGGTTTGGAACTTATTTAGTGCATCGGCCAAAGCAAAAACTGGCCCATCTACGCCACCCGATTAAACTGTTATTTTTTGACGAAAAAACATTACATAAATAATTTTGAGGCTATCGTCTATTGAAGATATTTGTTTGTTTTTCTTTTCAAAACTCTGATGTTTTTGAGGAATCCCTTTCTTTGGGATTTTAAATATTTATTGCTATTATTGAAAGTAATGCGACCATTTTCTGTTCTTTTCTGTCGTGGAATGTCTCAATTCTAGAGGAATGTCATTATTGTCTGCCTTTCATTTTTACCACAATATTTTGTCCATCCTAGACTATACATCCACATCTCAGATATATTTGCGAAGATACTTATGGGCACTTCACTACACGACTTTCGGAGTCAAAATAAAACTTTAAATTACATTTTTTTTAATTCACTATTAATACTTTTTTATACTACTTTTTTATAGTGTTGAAAACTGTGGCTAAAACTTCCGATGTAATGAGAAACAATCGTAACCTTTTAGATAGTTATATTAAAAAAGTTGATCAATATCGATAATGTTTTCCAAATAGATTTTGTTTCCCCTTGGCTGCAAAATATTACACCCATTTCATATTATTTAGAAAACTACACAATATTGAAAATTGTGATCTCTAACCATGGAAAAACAAACTGCTGATATCTTTTGTAGGAAAATTACAACCCAATTAGAATATCACAGAATATCAAATTGTAGTCAATTCAAATTGAAAATGTGTCAAAGTTTTACATATAGGGGTACGTTACATTTCATTTAGAGGGAAAACTTTTTCAATCTCAAAAAATCGAAAATTGAATGTTATAGTTTTAATGGGGCTATGCTCAAGGATATATAGGGACGTCTCCTAATATCAAACAATTGCAAAATGTGGTTATATGGTCACTATGCGGTAAAATAATTATTTTGATGAGTTACAAACGGAATAAGTAAATGAAAATACTATGACATAGGGTAACGAAATAAATAAAAACACAACATCACAGCTACATCATTTCAGATACATATCTATGATATAATTTTAAAGTTAATATATTTAAAAACAAAACAAAAAACTAATTCTTATTTTCTGTTCTCTCGCTATGTCCGTTCATCATTCCACAAATACCTTCCCCACACATCATTGTTGATGAATTACATATCCTCTACAACTCGTGTTCGTATTGATAATCTTACAGAAAATGGACTGATGAAGAAATTGATATGCTGCATGCATCAATAATACGATTCTCAGATGATTTAAATAAAATCAGTTTAAGCATAAAAAATAGGACAGTGTAAGTTAATAATTAAAAAAAAAAGAATAATAAACCAAATTAGCCACATAACCTCTCACAGGGATATAGCGAGAGGGCATTTTTTGCAATTTTGTTCTGATTAGAAATATTACTAACATTTTGATTTTTCTCTTTCCTCATGATTTGATAGGACCCAAATTAGACAAGCACTAAAGAAGAAGGCGTTTGAGGATGCCGGTATACCAGCGAAGCAAGTACCAATGCAACAGGTACAACATGTGGTACAAACGGTACAGCAAATTCCGCAAACAACAACGACGCATCAACAACATCAGACACAACAACAGCAGCAGCAACAACAACAACCGCAGACATTACAGATACAGCAGCAGCAACCAACTCATCAGATTCTAAAACATCATATTGTACAGCAGCAACAGCATCAGTCGTCCCAGCAGCAACAACAGCAAACAGTTATTGCAACGGGTGTCTTAAATACCCAACAGACTTCTCAGCAGCAGCATCATCAGACGCAGCAACAGCAGCATCATCATCAGACGACAACGCAGCCTCAAACGGTGCACATACAAAATATTCAGCATATTGTACCTTTACAACAATTATTACAACAACAATCATCGACAACCTCCACGCCCACACAAATCTTACAAACAACGCCTAAACAAATTATAATTCAAGCATCGCCACACAATGCAACATCATTGGGAGGTGGTAGTGTGGGTGGCGGCAGTGGTGGTGGTTCTAGTGGTGCAGCCAGTATTGTGACCTTGAATAATGTAACAACAACAAATTCACCCCAATTGACCCAGCCACAAATTGTCCACTTACAGCCGCAACAATTTCAACAACTACAACAAGCCCAGGCGCAACAGCAACAGACACATATTTTGCAACCCACCCATGGGAGTATTGCACCGACAACTGTGACACTACAACAGTTCCAGCAAATACAAGCCTCCAAAGGTATTTTAACAGTGCAACAACATCAACAGCAGCAACATCAGGCGGCGACAGCAGCCACATCCACCGTGGTCACCATTAATAATGCTGCCCTAACAAATGTTGTGGCATCCACACCATCTTCAGCAGCCACATCATTGAATACGAATATATCCAATGCATTGTCCACCCCACCTGCAGCTTCGACGGTAACAGTAACCGAGAATATTGTTTTACAACAACCAACCAATACCACAGTGGGCAGTAGTGGAGCTCAAGTGGTAAGCGGCGGTACATTGTCTTTACCGGCGGGTCATAATGCCACGGTTACCACAAATGCAATATCCCCATCGGTTACCAATAATTTGGTAACCAATTCTACAAATGCTGCGCTAGTAACGCAGTCCACCACAATAGTATCGCCCGGATCAACATCTGTTGTTCCCAGCCCTACTACCACCCTGGCAGCTGCCACCACAGCAACCAGTGTGGCATTGAAGTCATCCGGTCCAGATGTTACAATGACCCTGAATCGCATCAATACCGCGGAACATGAAGTTGATGTGGAGGAGTGTTTGCCCGGCGATGTTGTTAAGTTGGATTTTGCCGGTGAGGAGGTGGCCGGGTGAAAGTTTACTTCAAAAAGTTTGCGGGCGTTACAACGACGATCATCAACGTCGTCGCCGCTGCCGTCATCCCTGCCATTATCCGCCACCTCAACGCTTCATCAATCACCATCAACACCACCAGTAGCAGCATCCCATCAGCAACAACGGCAGCAGCATCGGCGACATTGCTTAGATCAACAGCCGCCAGAACGTCATTTATCTTCAACTGTGGATAATTTAGAATTAGCCAATGTTATGCAGCATAACGTTGTAGTTACAGATATTGTCGAAGAAGAAGAAGTAGTAGTAACGGGCAGTAATTGCCATGCCACAGATGTTATCGATGAAGAAGATTTCTACTTTTGAAAAGAAATCCGCGACATTTTTCCTCTCCTTCTCGTTGTCACCGAAAAAAAACTTCCCATAAAATAAAAAAAAGAAAATCAGCTTCCCATTATTTTTCAAAAAAATAACAATTTATCACTGTTAATATATTTTATAAACAAAAGAAATCCAATTGTTCTCATAAAGTATGTGTACTTTTAATGAAAAAAAGAAAGAAATTAACTACAACATAATCTATTCAACAAATATTTTGTTCGCCTCCCAATCCCCAAATTTTTAAAACGTAGATTTTTCTTCTTTTCTGAATTATATTTTTCTTCTTTAAGTTTTTAATAATTCCTTAGGCGGGTTGCTATCCCTTTCCATCCCCCCTTCAATGGACTTTTTTCTTCTTTTGATTTCAATTCACATAAATATTTTTTAATTATATAATTATTATAATTATTAAAAAAATACATTTATTTTTAATATAAACAAATCATTTAAAAATTATTTAAGAGAAATGATTGATAATTAAACACAAATCTATAAACTTAAAAGAACGAAAAAAGGTTACAAAAATTAAGAGAAACAAATGTGTTTTAGGATCTTTAATTAGTGTATAAAAATGTACAAATTAATAAACAAAACAAAAAAATTATAATAAAAATAAATTCTAAGGCATTTTAATTCAACTGAATGATGTGCTGAGGGAGTCTTTATATGGGCAAGCTGAAAGTAGTCTTTATATAGACTAGCTGAAGGATGTTTGCATATAGACATGATAAAGGGAAACTTTAAAGAGGAGCTGAAGGGAGTCTTCATAGACGAGCTGAAGCAGGGAGTCTTTATAGACGAGCTGAAGCAGGGAGTCTTTATAGACGAGCTGAAGCAGGGAGTCTTTATAGACGAGCTGAAGCAGGGAGTCTTTATAGACGAGCTGAAGCAGGGAGTCTTTATAGGAGCTGAAGCAGGGAGTCTTTATAGACAGCTGAAGCAGGGAGTCTTTATAGACGAGCTGAAGCAGGGAGTCTTTATAGCTGAATGAAGTTTTTATAGACGATCTAAAGGGAGGCTTTATAGATGGGCTATTGGGAGTCTTTATAGACGAGCTGAAGCAGGGAGTCTTTATAGACGAGCTGAAGCAGGGAGTCTTTATAGACGAGCTGAAGCTCTTTATAGACGAGCTGAAGCAGGGAGTCTTTATAGACGAGCTGAAGCAGGGAGTCTTTATAGACAAGCTGAAGCAGGGAGTCTTTATAGACGAGCTGAAGCAGGGAGTCTTTATAGACAAGCAGGGAGTCTTTATAGACGAGCTGAAGCAGGGAGTCTTTATAGACGAGCTGAAGCAGGGAGTCTTTATAGACGAGCTGAAGCAGGGAGTCTTTATAGACGAGCAGAAGCAATTTTTATACCCGTCACCACACTGTGGTACAGGGTATTAGTCGATTTATGCATGTCCGTCTGTCTGTCCATGTTACATTTTAAACAAAGTGTTACATTTTAAACAAAGAATTAGGTCTAGAATGATGTGTGCGATGTTTCGTAAAAAACGATTCAGATTTATTTCGTCCGATTTAAGTTAAATGGTGTACCATAGTCCCCTAATATCTTTCCATTTGCACGAAATTTGGCACAGCGTAATGAATTAGGTCTACAATGATGTGTGCTAAGTTTCCTGGTGTAAATGGTGTAAAGTTTGGCACAGCCTACTGAATTAGGTGTATAATGATTTGTATTAAGTTTCGATGAAATCGTTTTAGATTTCGATATAGCTTTTATATATATTTTCGTCCGATTTTTAGTAAATCGTGCGCCAAACTACTCATGTTTATCCAATCAGACACCCGGATTGATATTTGCTTTAAATTGATTTACAAAATTTTGCCCCATTGTAAAAAGCAACTCCATATCTGACCAAATGAGAAATTTAGTTTAGGTTGCAGAATGACTTGTTTATGGATCCATTTTCATGTTAATGGTCTTTCAAAAATGCGACGTCTGTTAGGATTCCTCTGTTGAATATACCCAAAGCCGGCCCCGTCCGACTTTACTACTTTCCTTACTGGTTAAATATAGGTTAGTTCCCTCTTATTCGGTATGTTGAAGACTCAATTGAACCTGTATTTCTTATGTGTAATTTGGTTGTTCGCTTTCTCGGAATATAACGCTAATGAGACCATATTCTGACCTAATCCACATATAATCGTCAATTTTGTTATTTTAGTGAATATATACGGTTCTGAACATAATCACGTTTTAACTTTTTTATTAAATTTGTTGTATCCATACGTAAAGGATAGTGGGGGAACTGCCATATCCTATTCATATTCTTTTAATAAAATACATTTAAATTTCTATTGCTTTTGCATAACATTTATTATCTATAAAAACAAATTTTTCTTTTCCACTTCGTCGGACATGATTCATACACTTTCCGCCTTTGTAATGTCGATTCAAGATAATTTTGTATTTCGTCTTCCACCTGAGAACGCCATTTTAAATCGAGAAATAATGGAAAAACTTCTCCCGATTTTTTTAATCTTCTCTCAGCCGTCTGATAACACTTCCAGGGTTGTGGTTCTACAACGAATAATTTAGCTAACGATGATAATTTACGTAGGAATTCTTGCAGTCCTGCATCATGATGATTTAAATGTATCCACATTGTTATTGAAAAACAACAAATTGCATCGAATTTCGAACGTTGATGTTTTGCCAAATATTCGGTGACTTTTTCAAATGCATTATTGTCCATAACATCAACACAATCGAATGCTATTGAATCACAATTATTTTCTGCAATAGCCCTTTTGATAAGGGCATCATCGATATCGACACCATAGACGAGAATTTTACGTTGTGGTAATAATTTGCTAAGATAACCATATAAAAGTTGGGTGAATACGCCAGAATTACAGCCAACATCTAGTACTAGGTAGGGTGCATTTTGTTCGTCATCGTCTGCCGACCAATGTTCTGTGGGAAGAAGTTTTAAGCGTTCTTCTGCTGAGTTAAATTGATAGTAGTTGATAAAGTTTCCATATTGCACAGCTCCAGGATCTATAATAGATAAAAAGGATATACATTTTTAAACAATTTTTGTATAAGTATTTAATTTTAATATTTAAACCTGCTACTATCTACTATTTGTAGGTCATATTTTGACCCACACATTTTATAGAGAGATAGAACAGATTATATATGTATATATATAATATATAAAAAACAATAAAAAAGGTTTGCAGGTGTTGCCGACAGATTTATACACTTAGCCTATGACGTATCATATGTTCGTATGTAGTATACATTAAACCTGACTTTAATGGGGAAGATACCAGAGAAAATGGACCTATATTTATCCGACAGTTGCACTAAATCTATGGTTAGTTTACATATAAAGACCTGCTGGGCTTAATCCCCCAAAATTCTTCATTCGGTTTATATTATTTATATGATTTTTTAGCAAATTGGATATAAGTAGGTGCGAACCGACAGCTCCTATCTTCGGCATTAATTTGAGTTTGGTAAAAGTCTTACGATATGTATTTAAAGGATCAAACCTGATAATTCATTAACTTCATATGAAGCTTCAAAAAAGTTTAGATGATGCTGATATTGCGTTAGCTTCACACGATAGTTCGGTCAGAAGCCACCTATGCCGTACCAGTGTGTACTGCGAATACTAGTGCTACGCTATAAAGAAGTATTCAGACCTGTCAGAACGCCGAACTTAGAACTGTAATAGGGTGCCAACTCATGATACCAGTAGGCCATCTTCATGAGACGAAGGTCCTTCGCTAACGGCAATATGCGTTCAGGGATAATAATCCTAACAATCATATGGTGACGTGTTAGCAACCAACGAATCGAGTGCTGATCAAAAAATGTTTACCACAGTAAATTATAGGTCGACTCCAACTTCTTTTACGAATATTACCACAATGTTCAAACTTTATAAGCCTAGTGAATTCGTGAAGTGTGGAAAAATCACATTGTTCCTGAAAGCATCTTCTTGTATATTAAATTTACGACATCCAAAGATTATATGTGCGGCCTTCTCCGCAGTCCTCGCATAATTTGGCAAAGGTGCTCTTGCAGAAACAGTGGCCACTAAGGATTCTATTAATTTGTTTTTGTGGAAAAAAGAGTTCAAATTACAATTTTTTAACCAGTGAGGGAAAGATTTTATAAAAATGAGAGTTACCATTGCTTGATACTTGCACATAATCATTACCACATTCATTCTAAAGAACCTTAGCTATTTGATTGATGGCATTGGCCACCGTATTTCTAGAAGTGTGCCCTGTCTACAATTTCATTAAATTTAATAGATGAATGACTTGGTGAAATTAACCTTGTTGATAAAGGCATCAATCAGGTAATTCCTATGTTTTTGATTATTCATAGCTACTCAAGCTGTTAGAAAGTATTGCAAAGTCTTTGATACCATTGTTTTCAGCGTATTTTGCAACCATGAGAAAAGAAAGCAATTCAGAGGACCTGTAAGATAATTTGTTCCTGACATAGAAGGGTTTAGTTGTTTGTGAATTGAAATGGTAAAAAACAGCCCCGGTAATGTCTCCGGCCACCGATCAAATTTATTATATTTAAAAAACTCAAAACAGCAAATAAAAATAACATGGCGGGGAATGTGGACCAGTGTGCAGTGCATGATCTAGAGACCGGTGAACGTTTTAAAAGGGAGCCTGTAAATCAAGTTGCCTATCGAGCAGGTCTAGAAAGCATTCATACTGATGCAGTTGAATGAATACAAAGTTAATGCCGTCCTCGTAACTCAGGATAACTCGGTTAAAAGCCAAATTAATGAGACGCAAATTACAAGAACTAGAACCAAACAGTAAAGAAAACCCGGTAAAACCAATGCGTTAGCCAACCGCTTCCTAACAAAAATATGCAAAGCTAAATCTGAGGCATAAAGACCACGAAAGTAAAAAATCATCTGGGATGCAATCATATTATTGTGGTCATCAATGATCACCGCAGACATATCAACTCCAACATAGAACACATCCATGGCACAATCCATCATTGACTGAAATACGGATGCAAAACGATAAACTTCTTTACAAAAAAAAAAAAAACTCCGACCCCTGAGAGGACAGAGGTATGTCATTCATTGGGTAAAAGCAATAGAGCTGCTTCAACAACAACCCCTAAACACCGCTTTTAAAAGGAAAACCAAAACAACATACATCTAACATTCACAAAGTCTGCAAAATGTATTGCGAGAAATCTGCCAGGACTGAGGTGCAGAACCTAAAAATTCATCTGGACAGCAATTTCATTCATTGCCGGAAAAATTTGACTCACGGTATCATTTCAAAGCATTTGAAGCCCTGATTACAAAAAATTTATATTAATATCAAATATGTCCATACTTTCTGAGATGGGTATTATTTTAAAGATTAAATATATGTATTAAAGAGTAAAGGCATGGTGATACAATGTTTATTAAGAGAAAATTCTGTCACGTAGTCAGAGTAGCCAATTGTCCATAGGAGACAGATTAAATTCGCCGGCCGAAGGCCGTCTACCCACAAACACTGTCCATAGGAGAAGGTCTTAAATCCCCGGCTGAAGGCTGGCTACACAAACACTATTCTTATTAAAAGGAGATTCTATCGCGTAGCCGGTGTTGCATCTGTCCATAGGTGAAAGTCTTAATCACCGGCCAAAGGCCGGCTATCCACAAACACTATTCTAATTAAAAGGAGATTCTGTCGCGTAGCCGTAGTTAAATTTTTGCAACTTGTCTTGCTACCCATATTGTTTTTCAGAAGGACAGCGTGGAATTTTGATGATCCATATCTCAGAAAGTATGGACTTATTTAATATGAATATTATATTTTTATAATCAGGGCTTCAAATTCTTTAAAATGATACCCATATTGCCTTAGTGGATTTTAAAAACTTATGAGAAAATACAAGGGTCCCAACGGAATTTTGAAGGCTCATATCTCCGGAAATACAGATTTCCGCAAGAAAAAAACTATACTGCTGTAATCAGGGCCTCAAGGACTACATGTGGTAAAAATTTAAAAACGATCCGTGAGTGGGTCCTAAACTAGACATGTTCCAAACTCACTTCAGGGATTATAACAGGTCACTGCAGCTTTAGATCACATTAATGATGATCACAATATGAATATGAACTAGAAACGATTGAGTATCTACTACGTAGATGTCAATTACTCCGTAGCGAAAGGCGCCGACTTATTGGTATATACGGGATTGATACTCTTACACTTGTTATCCGTAATATATTTATGGACCGATTAAAGTAATATTGGTATGATTGTAATGTACACATTATATTTTCACTAAAATTCGATTTAATTAAAGATCCGCCATAGCCGGCCTTCTATTGGGGATTTAAGATGTTCTCCTATGGTCAGATGGAAAATTCGGCTACGGGATAAAATTTCCTAAACTATTGCCGGGGTTTTATAACTTTCCCCTGTACAACATATGTTAAATTTACCTTTATTTCGGAATTCCATAACAATTGTCTAATAATTTAATTTTTAATCCACGTCTTTGAAGAAACTTTATTTAAGAAGAACAAATCTGTTCTGCCTTAGGGAATTCCACTAATTCCTTTTTAATTCAAATATTTTTTTAATGAATGGGTTTACTATGCACGTTTGTTTAGAATTTACGTAGAATGGAATGATTGAAAGTGGATAGTAAATGTGCAATTCACTATAAAATGATTACACTTTGTTATAGGGATCTATAAATCGAACTACAGAATATATTTCAACAATTCTTAAAGCTAATGAAAAAATCATATAATTTTTGTAAAAATTGTCTTTTGCTAATATATAAATATATATTCTCTGCAAAAATTATAGGGAAATAAGTATTTGCAGAGGTGCCACATGGTTATAGAAACGCGTTGTTGTTGAAAATCTGGTATATTTGTAAGCTATAGTTCTTGTCCGTACTACAATAATAAGGAATGTAAATAATTTCTCCAAAGGTTGTTGTATATGCTACGATATACAGGGTGGTACAATATCATTGGAACTTATGTGTTACTTTATGTTCTCTAGGTCATGTATAGATGGCAGCCTAGTATTACATGTAATTATAGCCTTAATCGGTGTACAATTTATGTATATGGAATAATTTTGTTGTTATAATAGGTTGGTTGTTGGTGAAACTTCATTCCTGAAAATGTTGATAGAAAATAGAACAAGAAAATGGAAAATATGTTAATTAGGATTTGAAGAGGGTAGGCGGAGAAACTGTGCCACTCTTTTGGCTTTAGTCATAAATTTATGGCAATAGACTTTGAATAGGTGGTGTGTGTTGTGAGAGCCTTGCTGGTAGGAGGGACACCTATTTAGGATTCCGAGGGCAATGAGCTCTCGATTCGAATTAGGAACATTGCTGTACCAGGATCTTAGTTGCGTCAAAATCGAACGGGTTGGACTAGGAAGAAGCCTCTCACTGTCCGAAATTTGCAGGATGATATTGGAGTAGGTTTTTGTTGCATCTGTAGCCATTTATGACTTCGGAGACCTGCTGTTGATGACGTCCGATTAAATGATGTCTTGGATACCTTAACGCCTGAAGTCCTGACGGATGTGTTGGGGAGGTGGATCTTCCTTCATTGTAAATAACTGTCTAGTCAAGTACACGTTATGTTACTTGACTGACAGTATCCTGGTCTTTTCATGGAGGTGATCGATGCTCGTCATCTGGACACAACCGGTTGCAATTCAGAGTTTATTATTTTGTGTAGTCTGTAAAGATCTCCATTGTGTGTCGCTAAGGAGAGAAGTCCAGACGGAGGCAGCATAATTAAGGATGAAGAACCTATGGTCTTATATGTTGTTACCAACGTTTCATTATCCTTGTCCCAGGTGCTAGCCAAAGCTTTCACAAATTTATTCCTAGCTTTCACCTTCTGTTTGATATAGTTAGATTGCGAGGAGAAAAGAAGATTTTCGGCATATGGACAGTGAGAATGCGCCCACCTTCGATGGAAATATATTGACTTCTCGTGTCCAGGAAATGAAAAGTGACACAGTAGACTTTGCAGTGATAATATTAGATTGCGCTCCCGAATTAAGTTGTTGGTTGTGGATAAATAATTCGAAAATTTTGCACTTACGCCGTCAATGTTAACCCCGGACGAAATAACCATACAGTCATCGGCGTACGACACCACTGAAACATCTGGTAAAGGAATGAGGAGTTTCGCAAGTTACATTTAAAAAAAGGGGAGATAGGACCTCGCCTTGTGGTACTCTCATTTTGATCGTGCGATAGTAGGATTTTTGGCCACGGAACTCAACGAAGGCTTGCCGACCATTAAGGTAGTTGCCAAGCCAACGATTGAACGGCTGGAATTTGTGATGTCGGATATCAGCTCGGAATGATCGACCGTATAAAACGGTTTGGACAGATCTCAGACTGCCAGAATGGTCCGTTCAGGTGGTGGTCGTTGATTGGAAGTACATAATTTCTTGCAAAACCGTTTTTGTGCTGTCAGGGAAACATATAGCAAGAACGAAATGCTGTTTCAGGGACGAAAGCAATATAGACTCTAAAACCTTGGCTACTGGTGAAAGAATTTAGAATTTGAATAATCCGGGCTATTTTCCAAATATTAGGAATCACCAACTGTGATATCGTCAATTCGAGAATTTTGGACATGAACATGGAAATGCCGATGGACCAAGGGCTTTAGATGACTTGGATTTGGAGATAATTACCTCTACCTCGCTGGATGTGAATGATAGGGGCTGCAAGTCTCTTTTGCGATACTACATCTACGGATAACTGTTCGCTTGATCCCGTTCTGCGAAGATGGATGCTCTATGATAATAATAATGTCACGGAATACCTTCTAACCCTTTCTGGCACATACGGGTGGCGGCAAGTCATGGTGAAGGGTATAAAAATGTCGGTCCTCCCAAACTTAACGACTTTTCTTGCTATTTTTTTAAAAAAAAATATTTTCACTCTGTATTTATTTATTAATATTTTTTCTTAAAGATAGGTACATTTCATGTATGTGTATGTAAATGTTTGCATTTATTTTTTATTTCCGATCTTTGGTTTATTAGCTGTTTTATTTTCTTCTAATTATCTCATTTAAGAACTTATGATTTATACTAATAAATGTCTCATCAATGCATGACCCAACAAATATAATTACAAGCAGACAGATAGACGGGCGTAAACTTAGTGATATTCATAATAATAACGATATGGATCTACAACAGGTGTTTCGCCAACACCGGCAGGAATACCGGCGGTTTTTGGTACCGGGCGTATGACATAGGTGTTGCGTCTATAAAATAAAAAATAGGATAATTAAAACTTAAAATAAAACTTAAAAAAAAGGATGCCCTTACCTATTGTGATCTCCGGCATGAACCTGAAAACTGGTCTCCTCGTGGCCATCATGTGAAAAGAGTTTCTTCAAGGCAATAATACTGGCAATGGTCAAGGCAACTTTACTTATAACTAAAGCTTTACCAGCAATGGCGGCTAATGCCTTCAGACCAATTGGCCCCGCAATACCCATTGCTGTGAGCAATGCGGCAATAACATATTTCACATGACCACCTTCTTCCTTTTTCTTGTGTTTATGTGAGTGATCCTTGTCGTCATCACCACCACCATATCGAGCCACACTCATATCGACTTTAAGGGAGTGGGTCCGCACCAACTTATCAATTTTTGACAATAGAGCTCGATCCAATGGTCCGAGGCTATTTAAGGCCCTAGCATCAGCCAGCATACCAATAATACTCTGTTTTTCGGTTTGATTTTGTTTTTCCAAAACAACACCATCGAATATCTTAATGGAGTCCTGTTCAATGGCCCGACCCAGACCATTTAAAGCTTTCTGTTTCAGACAGTTCATAAAATCATCTTTGGCCTGACAATCATCATAGACACGTTTGATAATTTGAAATTCTGGACCCAACCAGGATATAGCTGTGGCACTGCTACTTTTCCCGGCACTATTGGTCCTGAGCGAAGATGTTCCAGTCGATCTGGCAGCAGCTCTGTGTGTTCGTTGATGTCCTACGGCCACTTGAATATTTGTCACCATACAATATGCCAGGAATAGCAAGCACGATAGTTTTCTACTGCTCGACATTTTTCGAAGTTGTATTTTTTGTCTGTATTTTTAATCCACTTTAAAAGTTGTTTTGTTTCGTTTCTATTTCGTTCGGCGATCTTATAACAGATCTATTTTTTTCGTGTGAAATTTTTCCTTGAGAAATATCCTTTCACTTTACACTTTCTTGTAATTGTGAACAAGTAAAGTTTTAGGGATATTTTTTCTTATTGCTCTCCGTTTCTTTATTGTTTCACCAAACCAACCAATTCAGTATTTCTTTCAACTGTCTTCTAAATGCAACTGCAACTGGATTTTCCGATGCTACCGGCTTTTATAAATTAACCAGCATTTTCTCCCATTACCAAATGCTTTCAACTAATCACTGATATGGAAAATGTTGGCGTGTTTCTTAAGCATCTTTTAGGTATGCTGCTGCTTGTGGCTTCGCGAATATCAAATCGCCAAAATAAAAAAGAAAACAAACGAAAACAAATTTTCCTGCAAATTCATATTTTCTATTTCTTTATAATTTTCCATCAAAGCATCAGTGTTAAATGTTTCTTTAGAGCGTCTAATGTTTAGTAGATATTTAATTAGTTTTGATTTATTTGGTTAGCGGTATATTGTCAGAGTTGTCCAAACAGTTTTTTGTTTTTTGAAATTTGCCTTGTAAGGGCAGTGATCATTTGAAAGTAAATTTCAAGTGAGTTATTTTTACTCTTTCGAATCGAGCTTAATGATCTAAGCTTTGCAGTGAAAAGGAAAGCCAGGAGAAGAATCTACGTATCCACCATTATGGGCTTATCAGGCATATTGAGCTTTGTGAATTTACAAAGGTCGTATATTGATAACTTTTTTTTCATTTCGCCCTGATGCGAAACTTGCATATGCGAATTAAATTCAAATTTGTCAAGGTTCGAAATTTGTCGAAGCGCGAGGGCTCTTTAGTATTTAAACATTAAGGAAATTGCAGGAGTGGGGTTTGGTTCCGTACCCTGGTATTCTTAAATGTACCAAGGGACCTCATTTAGAATTGAGACCTTGTGGAGGTGGTGTTGATTGGATTTGGAGGTAAGTAAAGTAGTATTTTTTCATGAGTGTTTATTATACAATTTTCTTTTAGGAGTCAGAAAAGTTTTCTGAGGCCGTCAAAATGGCAGGTGTTCCATACGAAAATGAACGATCTTTGATAGATCGTACCTGTCCATATGCCAAATTATTGTGTTATGTTTCACATGGAATAACAGGGGAGACCCTTTTATCGACGGTATTAAAGAAGCCAAGTCAATAAGCGGACTGGAGTAGACTGGAACAACTTCTGTGGAGAAGTTGCCGTCTATAGTTCTTTCCAGGTCCAGATTGAGATCGGCGGTCCAGGGAAGGTAGTCGAAATAGACGAGTCCAAGGTCGGAAAGCGGAAATACAATAGAGGTCATTATGTTGAAGGGCAATCGGTTTTCGGTGGTGTTGAATGGGGAACCAATAAATGTTTTATTGTCCCCGTAGATGTAGGAAACCCTATTGCTCCTCATAAAAAATATATTCGACCGGGAACAACAATAATTTCCGACTATTGGAAGGTAAGTGCGAAATATTTATAGGCTTAATTATAGTAAAATATATATTTTTTATATTTAGGCGTACGACACATTGGACCAAGAAGGCTATATCCATCACAAGGTGAATCATTCCCAACAATTTGTGAATTCCAAGGGAGGGTTTGTGGCGCCATCTTAAGAGGAGTCTCTTTCTGAATATAACCGTAGAAAATTTTTCTTGAACGGTTATATACAGAAATTTATTTTCTTAAAATGGTACAAAGCAAACGGAAAGGATTCATTTCTTGAATTTCTCCGGTTCGCTGGCCAGCTGCATGAGTGACCCCGAGTATTTTTTGGTAAATCGAGTTCTGAGGAGGAATACAATAGAGGTCATTATGTTGAAGGGCAATCGGTTTTCGGTGGTGTTAAATGGGGAACCAATAAATGTTGTATTGTCCCCGTAGAAGACCGTTCGAAGGAAACCCTATTGCCCCTCATAGAAAAATATATTCGACCAAGAACAGCAATAATTTCCGCCTATTGGAAGGTAAGTGTGAAATATTTATTGACTTAATTATAGTAAAATATATATTTTGTAGATTTAGACGTACGACACATTGGACCAAGAAGGCCAAGGAAGGGTTTGTGGCGCCATTTTAAGGAGTCTCTTTTTGGATATAACCGTAGAAAATTTTTCTTTAACGGTTATATTCAGAAATTTATTTTCTTAAGATGGTATACTTTCGTCCGATTTTATGTAAATGGAGCACCATACTGCCAATATTGGATCGATTGACACGAAATTTTGCACAAAGTATGTGAAATTTCGTTGAAATCGGTTCAGATTTAGATATAGCTCCTTAAAAATCTCTCTGGGCATTTGATCTATATCGATGTCAACTTCTTTGGTATATTTCCTACATACATGACAGTTTTATGCACACTTTCCAACATCATTCGATGCCACATAATCTAACGTGCCAATGTTGCATATCCCCGCTTTTTTAATATTCTTAAAATACAATTTTCATTGAGCTGATATGTTTCAATGAATCCGTGGACTATGAATGTAGTATGCTCAAATTTCAAAAACAATTCGTTTTTGTTATTTCTTTCTTCTTTTTCGCATTTTCTTCTTCTGATAAATGAGAAGACAAATTATTAACTGTTTCGGTTGTTGCTCATGTATTTCTGTTTGCACTTTCTTTCACTTATATACACTGGTATTGTGTGTTTTTCTCGTGATAATGTTTTTTCTTCTTCTTCTTCTTGCGCTGCAGCCTTGATTAATTTATGGTTTATGATTCGGTTTAACAACATAATTGCCGAAAGTTCTTCTAATTCTATGCTGTTGTTGTTAGTTTTGGATTTTTATGACCAATGGGATTGGCGATTGCTTTTATTGTCTGCTAATCTAGAACAGTATCTATAGTTGTTGTAGTATTTTTGGCCTGAAAGAAATTAAGAAGGTAAATATATGTACGTATATTTTATTCTAATCGTAGTAAAAGTATGACCAATAAATGTAAAATATATAATTGGAGTAAATCAGTGATTTAGTTAACTCTGTGTGCTGTATTCTATTTGGAGTGAAAAGAAATGTGCATATTTATGAAGTGACCACACATGATGATGCTGGTGCATTGAATGGTGGTAGAATAGTTGAATAGAATAAAATTTAAAATATCGTAGTAATCGAATTGAAATTGTAACAAGAAGAGAAAAAGTAAGTATTAAACCAAGTTATAGGTATCCCGAAAATGGGATGGGTTGAAGGGGTACATATAGCTCCGCACCTACCAGTCAGGGAGGTACACATAGGTACACATAGGTACACATGTATATACAACGCGTATATACATTCAATAGCTACATTCAATTAAAAAAAGGTAATATTTTTCAGATTTACAACCCCTATAACATTTTATAAGAAGACTAATCATTAAAAAGAGCTGCATTTTTACAACCTCACCTGTGCCACAGTGCATTATGTCTTTTTTCATATGTTTGCAACAGGCAAAAGGAAATGAGACAGATCCATCGTTCCTTTTGAGAATATGAGTCCATCCGTCAGTTCATGTTAAATTGTAAATAAAATACAGATCGCATTTATGTTCTGCATGAAATTAAATTTGGCACAGCTCACTTGTTTAAATCAAGAACAAACTCTGTTGAAATTGGAGAAAATCGGCTTAGATTTAGATATAGCTCCAATATATATTTTCATCCCATTTTATATAACTTGTGCAGCAAACTTGCAAGAAATGTTCGATTAAGACAATATTTTGTGTAGCCTAGATTGGTATGTGTTAAGTTTCGTTCATATTCAGATACTAGCATATACCCGCTACTTCATTAGCGAATGTGGGATGTATTGAAAACCCTATATCGACCATTATTAAAATTTTAGAACCATTTAGTAGGTATGTTCTGCCATAGTATGTTCTCAAATCTACCTCTATATTTCAACCCTACACACCCATTCCGACCGCAAGTATATTTGGTGTAATTTTTAACCATTTGTACTCTTGTAATACTTATTTTTAAAAAAAAATCTAATATAGCTTCACCCAAATCCACACTGAGTATCAGTTAGTGCACATTAATATAAATTTCCATAACTACCTACTTTAACAATCATAGGTACGAATTTCCAACACTTCCCACATACCCCAATCTTAATTCCAAATTTCAGGATTCTATCGGTTCGCCTAAATCCAATATGTATCACATATAGTACCACTTAGAACACATAAGTAAAAAATTTCCATTACTACCTACATCATGCAATCCAATTGAAATCATGAATTAGATAAAATCTTAATTTTAATCCAAATAGTATCAAATTTAGTGCGCAGTAGTACGAATTTCCAAAACTTCCTACTTAACCCAAACCTACACTCCCACAGTGATCCTAAATCCAAGTTTCAGGATTCCAACTCTATTGGTTCACTCACAATTCAAAACTTCCTACATACCACAATTCTACACCCCCACAGTAATCCTAAATCAAAATTTCAGGATTCCAACTCTATCGGTTCACCCACAATTCAAATTGTACCAAAGTAAGTACACAGTAGTACCACATTCCAAAACTTCCAACATACCTCAATCCTACATCTCCACAATGATCCTAAATACAAGTTTTAGGATCCCAACTCTATATGTTCACCCACAATTCAAATTGTACCAAATTTAGTACACAATAGATCGAATTTCCAAAACCTCCTTCTTACCCCAAACATACACCCCTACAGTGATACTAAATCCAAGATTCAGTATTCTAACTCTATAGCTTCACCCATAGTTTAAATTGTACCAAATTTAGTACACAGTAGTACGATTTTCCAAAATCTCCTTCTTAGCCCAAACCCCCCACAGTGTTCCTAAATCCAAGTTTCAGGATTCCAACTTTATTATAGTATGATTTAGTACTTTTTGTACACATAAGTAAACATTTAAAAAAAATACGTACATATCCCAATCCTACACTCC